TAGAGTACAGCGAATTGTCTGGCTGTCTCCTGAATCCACCCGTCCCACACTGGACTGCTGCTGCTGGGGGACAATACAGACAGCACACACACACACACAAATAAAACTGATGTTAGTTGTGAGCGAGAGTCTGCCCCGGCTGCTTCTCTGCTTCATTACTGAGGCTGACTTCATAGTGAAGGTGAAGTCAGTGCTGATTCAAATGGGATAGGAGGCCGAGAGGGAGGGGTTACCTGGGAAACCTATGTATGAGAAGCCGGCAATGGGAACCTACAGACAACCCACACACACACACACACACACTCAGAAATGTGCAAACAAGCCCTGCCTCAATCATACTTCAAGGGCAAAGACTGGGGATACTTCCAGCTGCGCATATCTGAGACACACACACACAGGTTAATTCCTCTGATGCCTGACTGCGGGGTCAGCTGAGAGAGCGAGCAAACGAGAGAGAGAGAGACAGCGAGAAAGACACACACACACACACACACAGTCACGCGGCATAAAACAGCGGTTCAAACGCAGCAGCAGCCGCTCATCGCATCACGCTACTTGTTGCACATGCTTCTGCAGCTCCACATCACTTCAGTGACAGGAGGGACGTAGCAGGTGTTCAGCTGACAGTCGCACAGATTATCCAAAGAGAGAGGGGGGAAAAATCAGACCAATAAAACATACAATACAATACAATGAGAGCTGTGTGTGTTTGGTTGTTTGTGGTGCTCTGGATGCGCAGCCCTGACCGGGCAGCAGCGGGACACACACTCAACGACTCCTCACTTCAAGGAGATGGGATGTTTTCTTACAAGGAGCATTTACTTAACGTGTCGGGGCAGCTGAATAACCGGACTACTGGATTCTTCCTCCTGGACTTTGACGATGGGATGCTGGAGGACTGGCGGTCTCTGGCCAGTAAGAAGCGCCGGGGCGGGGAGTCGCAGGACGGGAGCGTCAAGGCGCTGCTGGTGGCCGCTTACTCTCTGATCATCTTGATCTCCCTGTTCGGGAACACTCTGGTGTGCCATGTGGTGGTGAAAAACAAGCGCACCCAGTCCGCCACCAGTTTGTTTATCATGAACCTCGCTGTGGCTGATATCTTCATCACTGTTCTCAATACGCCCTTCACCCTGGTAAGAAGACCACCTATAAGCCTACACCAACATGACCTGTGTGTGTTGAGAATGAAGTCTGAAACAGCCCATTATGATGCTCTTGTTTTTACATTTAAAAAAAACAATGTGGGGAAACTTTCTGCACTTTGTCTTTGGGAAGGCTGGACAAGTTAAGTGAAATGTTTTAATGTTTTAATAATTCCCCTTAAAATCACGTTTTTAATATAAAATACTAAGAAATTGAGTGTGAAAAAGCCTTTTTTATTCTTTTTCTTTTAGCCACTAGCCCTTTAGAAATGTGATCCATACCTGCACTGCTTAAAGTATGAATAGTTATAATATGTAGTCGGCTATTCAGACTGTTGTCACCATAAGATGGCGCCATTTGTGCCTGTGCCACTGTGTGTGTGTGTGTGTGTGCGTCGTGAGAGAGAAACCAGCGTGAGTTAATAAATGTACCTATCTATCTGTTCCCTGGGTTACTTTGAAACAAACAATTTTAACATAATCCCATTTCAAATTAGATCTTAATTTAGAGACCCAGGACTTCATAAAGCTTTTGAACATTTGTTTTAATGCTTGAATTTGATGGTGTAAGTAATGTCTCATTTTGATGGATGGAAGAGGCTGGCAAACTGATAGGTGTACACGATGTGCTCTGTGTGTGTGTGTGTGTGTGTGTGTGTGTTCCCTCAGGTCCGATTCGTGAACAGCACCTGGGTGTTTGGGAGGACAATGTGTCACATCAGTCGCTTTGTTCAGTACTGCTCCCTGCACGTCTCCACTCTCACACTCACTGCCATTGCATTGGACCGACGACAGGTTTGTTTACATCAGGAGATGAAGCGGTGGCGCTCTCCTGCCCTCGGAGAGTATCACAGCTTCACAGTTTGATAAAAAATTCTGTGTGATGTGCAGAACACTATAATGTGAAGTTATGACTTGAAGGTGAATGTTTTAGTCAGGTGTCCTCCAAATATTCTGTCAATAACATGCTAGATGATTGAGTTTTTTATAGGCCTGCCACAAAGTCCCATTTGATAAAGCTTTGTCCTGCACCACTGGTGGAATGTATATCATCTTAGGCAGTGGCGGCAGTACAAGGAGATGGGTATGCTGCCAAAAAGCGCCCCCTGTTGAGCAGTAAGGAAACATTAAGCTGTTTGGTGGCCAGACTTGAACCTGTGTGGCCATGGCCACCACTGGTCAACCCCTGGCTCCGCCTATGATGATACGTTTATAAAATACAACACACATTTAAAGATTAAACCAGTGGTTCCCAACATTTTTGGTTTTGAGCCTTCAGAATGAGGCAGTGTCCATTTCGGATACGTTTTAGACGTTTATGAGTTGTTTCATCTCTAAACTTCTCAAATGGTTTAATTCAAATAGCTGTTCAAACTATGCAATATTTCACAAAAAACATACATTAGTGAAAAGTTAAAAAAAATGGAAATAAATTTGTGTTGCAGCACTTTGTTTTTTCTTCTGTCCTCTTCCATAAATCATCTCACGACCCCTCAGATTTATCTTGAGACCCTTTGACAAGATCTGACCTCCAGGTTGGGAACCACTGGACTAAACTATCAAACTGTACATTATATAAAGCATTTAAAACTAGCCGCTCACTCATTGATGCATCAGTAATGATGTTATATCAGTCATAGATATGTATTTTAGAGCAAGTACTTTCTATTGACAGTACTTTGTCCACCACTGATCTCAGGCATGCCCATGTGACACACATGTTGTCATGTGGTCGTCTTATAGGTGGAGGTAAAAAAAGTGAAAGTCTTTGTTACCCAATTACACCCTAACACAGTGTTTCCTCTCAGACTGTCATGAAATGTCTTGTTAGTGCCTTACTCTACAATAAACAATAAATGTCAGGAAAATATAAATAGTCTCTCTATATTATTACTGTATATTGATGCTATATGAGAAAATTACTATACTCAATACACTAAGTGACCAAGAAACATCCCAAGTTATTATATTTTAAAATATTATAAAATAGTATAAAGGTGTTAAAAAGCAGATTAAAGAATTTAAAATATGTAAAAAAAGATTTTTAAAGTTCTCCATTTTGAAATCTGACTCCTCAGCCTAATGCTTTAACGTAACTAGAGGTTCAAGTTTATTTATAGCCTTCTGCAATCCAAAAAAGGAAGACTCAGTTACCAAAGCTTGAAGTTATTAATAGTTAATAAATTTCCAATTTTAATGCTGCTTTGTTGTATAATGGAAAACATCTCCCGCTGTCTTCATAACAAAGAACAAACTCTAATAAATGACATGCTTAATAATTTCTTCTTTTGTACTGTAAAATTGATTTTGTTCCAACAAACTACTTTAAATACGCAACATTAAACATGAGCCGACTTTTAAGATCAGACTCAGAAGATCGTTGGAGCTGTATGATGAGATGTTATCACAACAGTAATAATATTATCTGATAAATAGATTAAAAGAAGCAAAAAAGAAACACCTCTTCACTGAGGCCATAATATTGTTTTAATATTCAAAAATCCATTCATGTTTGAGACGTCGTTGATGTCTGTTCACACCTCCTTCTCTAGATTGAGCAATCTGTTGAATACTAACAGGGGGGAGTACATGTCTTGTTGCCTGACGGTGCTAAGATGTTCAGTAATGCATTTTCTGCCAGAGTCTATGGCTTTGGGCCGTATATTGCATTGTGCATGGAAAGTAAATTAAATGAATTATGTTAGCTGCACTGCATAAGCCAAATTGTCCTTGTATAATAATGTGTGCTATAACAATCACAGACCTAGAGAGGGTTTTAGATTTAGCAGCATTCTTACAAGCAGCACAGGCGTGACATTGAAAAAGCATCACACAATGCAGATGAGTTTTGTCCTGACTTATTGTTTCCTGATGACTCCCTTGACCTGACAGCTTCAGTTCAGGTCCAATCTGTGTTGTGCCACAAAATGAATTCATTTGCTCATGAAATTAAATAAAAATTGGGGACCTGTTGCAGTTAATTTTCCTAAACCTGTATTCTGACCAAAGGAAAAGCTGTCAAGTCTCTTAAACGAGATAGTTTGAATTTAAGATGAGCTCTTGATGTGTTTTGTTGACCAAAAATGTCATATAAAGACTGCTGCTGCTCACCAATGACATAACCGGCCACCCGGTTTTATTGCTGATATATACAGCATTAATAACTGCTTTATTAAACATTAATAATAAGCATTAACAACATTAATAAGTGTTACTTTCAACTTAAAATGCTTAAATAAAGTTCCTGGTTTTAGAAAGTTGCTACATGCATTCAAATATAGATAGCTGGCCTCCTGCCATTCTATTGCACTTGAATTTAATATTGTGGGTGTATGAGAACTCCTCACAGTTTAAAAACATCTGGTAGAAACCATCTAATTGGTTAAATTATTTTTTTTTTCAGCTTGACTTCTCTTGTTGTACCTGAAGGTAACAATGAAATCTTGAGCCAAACAGACTTCCTTCCTCTCCTCTCATAGACCGAGCTTACAGAAAGACAACTGCAGCACAATGTGAAGATACCTGAGGACACTGTACAAGTTATAAGCTGTAATCTTGTTTTACAGCTGTGTCTGAAATTGCACCCCAGTTCATTGATTTTCCTCTACATGAATCAAAACCTTTACACAGCGAAAGCTCCCAATGCAAAACATCTATTATCACCAGCAAACATTCTCCCCATGATAAGCCCTCATAGGGTAGTCTGTGAGTAGTAAACCGGGATTTCAGACTGTAATGAAACATCAGTTTTCTCTCCATGCTGCAGGCGTTGTGTTGCATGGTTGTTATTTGTTACCACCTGAGCTACAGAAAAGCATTGCATTGTGGTATCAAGTAATATACATGATATTTGAGTTTCAAAATTCATATTTGACTGAAAGACAGCTGGTGATAGTCTCACCTTAAAGTCCATATCGTAGCTCTGCTGCAGTTCTCAGCAGTCACCAGCTGATTTAGCTTATCTTTATGCTTAAAAGCTGGTCCATGACCAATGACCTCTTTATTGAAAGTGGATTATCTTGGATTAATTGTATCATAGTGTAGCACAGACATACAACAACATTTGCATTTTTGACAAATACTTTTTATCATGAGCTGCTATAACTCTGTTAGCTATAACATTTGCCCTCTGATCCAAATCATAAATAATGTTTTTAAAATATGTTTTCTTTCTTAGAAGAGATACTTAGTATCTTAATATTTTAGTACACACATACACTTTTTTCACACTACATACACAGTCTGCTGCAGCTGTGCTCCTGCCAGCGCTGTCCATGGTGCTAAATTTCTAAAGGGACCAAGTGTTCAGATGGAGAATAACTATATATGATATCGATATGGGAGATGTGGGTGTATCTGTGAATGTCAGTGTAGTCAACACTGAGCAGTATAGGTTACATGTAATCCTAAAGGTCCAGTGTGTAACATTAGCGAAGGATCTAATGGCAGAAATTCGGAATCAAAATGCATTACATTAGGTAATCCCGAGCGTCTTCACCTTAGTGTATAATAAAGCCTAAAAAAAAAGCACATTGTTTTTTAGGTAGCCCTCCAAATCTCACACTGCGTCCAATATAAGCGCTTACATTATCTTGCTTTTACTGTCAGATGAATATAAGAGACATGGCTGTGACTCGAACACATATGTGTTTGAGTTAAGTTTTACTCTTTAAAAGCTTCACTCTTGTGGCCATAGTGATATTCAAGTAGCAATGAAATGACATGGATACAGCTTGATGGCCTTGAAAAGCACTGCATCACCTGCAAGGGCTGTAATGTTTTTCTCTAAGGCTCTTTTATTACATTTCATTATATCAGCTGTGCCCATTGCCTTTGTGTGCATACACAGTCATCTACTATTGTATGCAAATAGATAAGATTAATTTGAAAAGAAGGACTGTTAATGTAGGTTTTTATTTAGGCTGCTAATGTACCAAAGTCCAAAATTCTATTTTGAGAAGTAACAATGTGCGTGCTTTTCATAATGGGCTGGTTTGTATTTGTGAAAAAAAGAACAGATGGTTTTGTTAGGGTTATTCATAGTCACCTTGTATTTTTAAGCCAGGAATTTGCTTTTAGATGTTTGTTTTAAGTAATTGATCGAGTCCATGATGTACCAGTTTATCAAAAAAGTAGCAGGTGGACTTCCAATTCTGTAAACTCTTCCCCCCCACATCATACATGTACAGAAACACTATCTCAACAACCTTGGGTCAAAATGTTAATGGCAGTTCTGATGACTATTGCTGTAGATGAAAATTAAATTGAGCCATTTTGATTGTTAGATGAATTGTGACTGTACATGTCATTATCACCAGTGATGCCTGGGAGAGTGTTTAGAAGCTTATAACCAATATAAAATTTATTAAATAAGCCACACCATTGGTGAATAAAAGTCTTCTTTTTCATTGAATGTATCTGCATGGATTTATGATATATTATTCTCCCCCAATTTATCAGTGAAAGAAGTGTTTGATTTGCCCACCAATACGTCTATTTTCCTCTTAGCCCTCAATAACCCGTAGCTAAACATTTTCTTTCGTTTTTGGCTAATCTACAACCATAAAGCCAGATAAAATAGTTACATTGTTCCGACGTCTTGATTGTCCTTTTCAAGTCTACTGTACATTACATGTCTCTGTTGGACAATTGGTATGTGAACTGCATCTGAATGTCAAAGACATGCCATGACATCAACAGGCCTCTCTTTCTGTAGGGTTCTTGCACCAAGAAAAAAAAAAAAGTTGTTTCAGTCTACAAATGGGTACCTAACTATTGTTTTTATCCTTTAATAACTTCCATTCTGTAAAACTAAAGTGCTTCATTAGCTCGTTATTTTTTAGCTCTGCAGCTGCAAAACACTGAAAAAAAAACATTCTGCATAATGCATATGTTTATTTTTAATTATTTGATACTAGAGCAGTTTGTTGTACTATTACTTACATAAAATGCTGAATGTTTACTTTTAATAGTTAATAATACTATTTTTACAGTATTGGTTCCCCTACAAATAGTGTAGTGTTCCTACCACCTCATTTTATTGATTTCCCAGTGGCAGGCATTAAGAGTATCTATAGAAATAAATAGCCAGTCTCATTGCTGATGTCTTGTTTGTTTATGTCAGTCAAATAGAAGCATCAGTATTAAATTCATAACCAACTCCTGAGGTGTTTTTGTCAATATTAACTGTTTTAATATCATGCCTTAATAGTGGAAAGACCAAGCACAGCTTACAGTAACTAGACTAGATGTTCTCTCTTTTCACTCGGTTGGTTGACGCTCAAGGTCCTGTGAGTACAGTCAGTGCAGAGATGACACTGTGTCTCCCCCTTTGACACCTCTGGTCACCACTAAACAGAAAGTTAACAAACAACCTTTTTTGTTATTTCTTCATTTTGTATAACATAATACAGGCCAGTACAGCACAGACAAAATGGGCAAGAGGTTAGTAAACAGCAGTATAAAAAATTGTTTACTGTGCTCTGGTCGCATGTTATTTCTTGGGCATTTATGGGGGATTTATAATTAGATACGAGTAAATGTGCAATGGTCCACCAACAGAGAGCAGATATTTTAATTAAACCCCTGTGTATGAATACACAGATTTGGACGGATTATGTATTTCATGTTTTGATCCAGTGCGTGTATTTACACTGACTTTGATCTGTGTGCTTTCAGGTGATTTTACATCCTTTGAGACCTCGCATGTCCCTGGCACAAGGAGGTGTTTGGGTCGCTGTTATATGGATAATGGCCAGCTGCTTCTCCCTCCCACATGCAATCTACCAAAAACTATTGACTTTTACATACAGGTAAAATTATACAAACTCATACCTTTCAAGGAGGATCAATTGGAAGTGTATGATACTAATTATTGAGGTTAGCAACAGAGAAAGACTTTGGTGACTCCACTGATGTGAAGCACCTTATTGATCATCCTGTCATATGGCGATAATAGGATAATGGAGGCAATAGGACAGGATCCCTCTAGATGCTGGTGGTGGGGGAGTAAGTGAAGGTCATGGTGGTGATAAGAAGATGGGTGGTTGCTCAATCTTTTGTCTAAAAGACAGAATTATTTAAAAAACAACATGCAGAGGAGAAACAATCTGGTTTATGTTACGATTAGGAGACCTTCATCATCATGGTTACAGTGGTTACGGTTAGGAAGTGATGGATGGATGAAAGAAACATTGCTTGTCAGTTTTTCCCAAGTGTGACCCTATTGTGATGTCATACATTGGATTGTGGACTACCGTTTTGAAGCCTCAAGTTTGGCATTATGGCTGTCGCCATTTTATCATCTATTTTACTTTAATTTGGACCGTAATTTACAAAATAAACATCATGCTTTATGGAAAAAAGACTTGATACTTTTAATTGAGACCATAAACTCACTAGTAAACGGTTTACTGAGCTAATACATCAAGTGAGAAGTTGGGTCATTTCAATTAGGCTTCTTTTTTGCAGCCTATGGAGCGGCCCCCTGCTGTTCATGAGAAAGAATGCAGGCTTAAGACAATTCTGCATTGGCTTACTTCACAGACCCGGTCCACTAATTATATAGTGTCAGTGTCAATGATTCTTTAATATAAATGTAATATGGTGATATCAGAATCATGACCGTAAGGATTCAGACAGCGTGAGAAAGCAGAGGTGAAGGAGAAGATCAGAGTGGGAAAAAATAACATCCAATCATCTAAAATAAAGAGATTAGTCGGAATGACCATATCCTAATATTTCTCCTCACCTAGAGCTGAGACGATTAATTGATTAATTGATTAGTGGACTATTAGGAAATTGATCAGCAATCAACTATTGCAAAAATATTAGTCATTTGAGTTTGAGTTAACAAATTAACTATATAGTTAACTGGCTATTTTGGGTGGTTTTGGAATTTCACCGTATAATAGGCAATTTCACAATTTTCTGCCATTTTATAGAGTAAACAGTTAATCAAGAAACAATAAAAAAAATGTGTTTACTTGTTTACTAATCTGTCTTTCTTGCTTCCTTTTGTACTGTCATTGTGGTCAAAAGTAAGGAAAAGGAGCGCAGCCTGTGTGTCCCTGACTTCCCGGAGCCTTCAGATGTATACTGGCAGTATATTGACCTCCTGACCTTCATATTGCTTTACATGCTACCACTCGTCATCATCACTGCCTCTTACACCACAGTAGCCTGCAGACTGTGGCGCCACAACGCCATTGGTGACACTACAACAGCTCAGCACGCCGCCCAGAGAAGAAAGCGCCGGAGGACGTTGGCCATGCTGCTCCTAGTGGTCGGAGTTTTCGCTGTCTGCTGGTTTCCACTCAACTGCTACGTGGTGCTGCTGTCCAGCCAGGCCATCCACTCCTCTAATGCCCTGTACTTCTGCTTTCACTGGCTGGCTATGAGCTCCACCTGCTACAACCCTTTCATCTACTGCTGCCTGAATCCCACCTTCCGCCAGGAGCTGAGGCTCCTCTTCAACATGTGCAGGAGGAAACAGAGGGCAGTGGTCGGGTTGGAGCCGGAGCTCCGCCCCGCTGCTGCCTGCACTCCTCGTCAGAGGGTTGCCTGGCCTGAAAACCATGAGTCCTCAAGGCCAAGGCATGCTTTGTCCCAGCCAGGCCACACCTCCTCACAGCAGAGTCATGCCTCTTCCATTCAATCCCACAACCTAAAAGATACGCATGTGCTCTTCACCGCCAGGCAGTTCCTCACAGGAAGAACTGACATCCTCTCAGTGGAGCCCATTGTGGCTGTGAGCTAAAACAACTGGAGCAATGTGACAGGATTTTCGTATGTGAGATTCATAATCCTATTTCAGGATTTAATCAAGTTTCAAAGAGGACAGGAAATCTGAAAACCTCAGAGATGTATAGATGGGCTCTACACAGGATTTCAGAGCGAGCGAGAGATGGTTTTTGTGATGGCTTTAAACTGAAGACACAGTGATTTCCTTGTGGTTTTATCCAACTTTTTTCTTTCCACTGTGTTTATCACACTTTTTTCTATCTCCTGTTTTTGGTCCATAGTTTGTCAAGAATTGAGGCCCCAGCCCTTACAAAACTGACAAAACAATATCACCACAAGGTTCTGGAGCTTTCAATCGAATCATGCAATCTCCCTTGTGTGGAGTTTGCCCAGTTGTTCATGTTCATATTTCCATTTGTTTTCTGCATTTTAAGGACTTCTCCTTCATGTTGGTGAGATTACAAGTTAATTTCGAATCATTGAAAGTTGGCATCACCACAAAGTCCATTAGGTAGATGTTCTGGAGCCTTTGATCAATTAAAAAAAATTATTAATACTGTTACATCACTGACACTGTGATATACAAAACAGTGTAATAATGTAATCAGTGCAAAGAGGTGCAAACTGGGCTCATTCATCATGTTACATTACATAAGTGGAAGTTTCTTAATACTATATTCTTATGAAAAAGTTTTAGGCTGTACATTTTTTGTCCAAATTTCTGGCATTGATATTGATGTTCTAAAGTGATTGTTTGGTCTGTGTGTGACTTTTCTTTCAGCAGCCTTCACAGGTGGATGGTGTAACAACAAGGTTCATTCATACTTTAAAACCTCCCTGAAACTGTGAAAAAAACATCTTGACAAAATAAAGGGGGACTTCACAACTTTGGTTTACAATTCCGCCTGCAAGCAGAGAATCTCAGTGGGTAAACATGTTGAAAATGAAATTGTGTCCCCATTGATCCACAGGCCACTTAAAACCCGCACTGTTGCTCATACTTCTTTTCTGTTTATCCTTTGATTGATATATAGCCAGAGGGTTTATAGAAGAAAATATACCAACCAGACATTACAGCAGTGTAGGCGACTTACCTTTCTCGTCACACTGTCACAGTATCAGTATCAATATCTGTACCATAGACTGCTTTAAAGCCCCTTCACACTGTGTGGTTTGGGGCTGTCTGAAACAATAGTTGATAATCAGAGAAACATGGTAAAAATCCAGAACAAGATTTAGGACCAAATTCTTAAAATGAGACTTTATGCTATGACCCACAAACCAACCAATGATGCAGGACGCTGGCCAGTGCGCTATTTCATAAGCGCCATTTAACCACCATTTTTGTTTAGGAAAAAACGATGGAGTAAAAAAAA